CTTCAAATTCAGACCCTTTTGAGGACAGGTAGGAATAACGGTCAACAGGAAAGGCCAATTGACAACACTCTCTCTCTCTGATATTTTAAGGTGTTTTTGCCTCTCAGACTAAAGTTCTTTTGTAAAACAGTCACATCATTATTTTAGTTTTAAAAAATCCTTTTATTTCAGATACAGCATGCTGCTATATACAGAAAAAGTATGGGAACAAAAGCAAAAGCAATACAGAATGGGCAACAGTTTGCCTAAACCTTACAACATGCTTGTAAAAGCCTCAGTACATGACTGTATCTTATATATTATTCATACTCCTAAGTCACCTAAGAAAATGTCCCCTTTCCTTCACAGGTCCTGAGATACCACTTTCCCACCTGTCTCTCAAAACAAATTCTAGGTTCAAATGGAAAGCATTAAGCAGTGTTTTCAGAGATGAGTTTAATAATACAGCACATTCGAGAAAAATAAATTTATCACATGTAGTATCTTATCTGAAAAAAAACCAATATTTAACCAGGCAAACTAAAAATATAATTTATTTAGCAAACTTTTAAGCTAGGCTCAATAAGTTTCCTTTGTAACCCTCTACCTTCAACTTAATCTTCTTTACAGTAACAATACCCTATGGAAAAATATAATTTCTCCACTTTCTAAACAAAGTCTGACAATGACCTCTATTCCATTTCTTTTTTTATTTATGGCAAGAAAGTAAAACAGCTATGCCTTTCCTTCATCAGTGTTTTAAGGTTATATTTCACTTAGCAAATGGCAAAAGAAATACACCGTACAATGAAGAAGATTAAGAGGGCTGGCTTGCTTTTATTTTTATTTTTTTGACAGTGGAGAGATACTAGGCTAACAACAGAAAACAATCAAAGACAGGCACGCAGAGAAAACCCTCTGTTAGGTCTTTACTTTATATATGATACTCCTAGACTCTAACTCAGTACAGCAGTTAATTCCTTAGTGTAATTACGTCTTGCACATGTGTTTGTTACATGCGGGCTTTTAACTTTTAACATTAAGGATTTGCGCCGACAGGCCGTGATGCCAGTTGCGCAATTTGGCAAAGCGTGGGCTGTTACGTTCCGTTTCAAACCTTTCCCTGTGGCATGGAGAAAGAGAGAGAGAGAGAGAGAAAGAGAGAGAAAGGAGGAAGAAAGAAAGGGGTTAGGGAATGTGGCCATCACACCCCTGCCTTAAAACTAGGGCAATGGCAATTTATTTGGATTTATGTTACTGCCCAAATCAGTGAACAGTAGTCTGGGCACGTTCAGCATAGGCATGGAAAGCTTTTGTTTTTTGTGCTTTTGAGGTGTAATTTAAACACAAATTTGTATTCCCGCATTTGGAGTTCATTTGACAGGGCTGCTTTTGCTAGAAACTTTGAGCATAATCTCACTGCTTTCCTGCCATTAGCTTTGCAGCTATTTTTCAATCTGAGCAGGAAGAGAAATTCAGTTCTGTACAAGAGCAAAATCACTGCAAATATTTTCAATCCTGTAATATCTAGGTCAGTCTACCTTGACTCATAAGGACAATCAACCTCAAATTTGAGCAACTCTTCTTTATCCCCATTCCACTGTCACCAGAGATTGAGTAATGAGGGCCTGAAAATCCTACAAATGTTGACCTTTAAAGAAATTTCTAGTCTAATGAGATTAAAAAACATAGTATTTTCCGGGGTACAATTCTAGGTTGTGTTTATCCCCTCCTTCCAATTTGTAAGTGCTCCCGACACACTTTACTTTCAACATGAGATGATGGTATTCAACCCCTCACAGTCCGGGTTGCTTCAGGACTGGATATTTTCTGGATATTACCCTGTAGTTAAGATCCAGGATTTTATTTTAGATTTTAAAGGAAATAGGGAGATAAGGAGAAGGGAGGAAAGATGAAGGAAGAGAGACGTATGAAATGTTCACATTATCTGTGCACATATTTGATTTACTGCAAACAAGTTAATTTCTCCTGCAGTGCTGAAACACAACATAACTGTGTTAGTGCAAGAGAACCAAGAAGTGAAAATGGCTGGACAAACAGAAGATAGCAGACCATGATAATTCCACTCTCCAGACAGAACAAAGCGCAAACAAACAGCATGAATGGCAACAAACACAAGATTTCAAATTCTTCAGTTTCTAATTGCTTAAGGTGATACAAATAACATAGCTAAGGGATGATTTTGATATCTGACTTCTTTTTTCCCTTGCATGTTTATCAAAAATTAAAAGATTCAGAATATCGCTAGGTGGGATGTTGCAATTGCAAGCTGGGTAGCCCCAGCTGTATTTAAGGATAGCCATGAAGTTTAGGAAATCTCTGTGCTTTGAGGACCTACCCCTCCATCTACACACAGAGAAGGGTATTAAGTCAAGACACTTCTGTTTGACTGGAAGTAGACAAACTACTAATCAAGTTTTTCAAGAAAAAATACATAAAAATCCCAATGCAAGGGAAAGTTTCCATAGCAAGTAGTAACCTTAGATAAAAAAATTCCTTACAGGACCTACAGGTACCTTGGCAGTTGGAGTAATTTAAGCAAGAAAGAGCGCTACCTAACACACACATTAAGTGAAGTCCCGCCCCCCCCCGGAAAATTCCTGCACACTATGGGCTTTTTAGAGTATATGTTAGTGAGTCTGAAGATAGGAATGAAACCCCAGAAGCAAATATTACCATTTACCAGAATCCCCAGCAAGGAAAATTACTTGTTTTTTTTCCTTCTGTGAAGGTGTTTAAAAGAATTCCACAGATTTATTAGAGCTCAAGCTTGATTATTGTCCATATTAAACAGAGTTGAAATACAGAGAAGAGAGGGGAAAGCACGAGGAATAAGGGAGAAATTAATGAAATAATTCTGGTGCAAACATTTCTATTATAAGAGAATTCTGTCACTTCAACTTACAGAAAATATATAGAATTCTTTAGCCAGGGATGGGGTAGGGCAATCTGGTAGAGTCCAAAACAATGGACTCAGGGGAAGTGTGCAATGCAAGACTTGCCAGAACAGTATGAGGCTAGCTATGTTGGACCCAGAGATCCAGAATGTCTCAGTGCCCTTGATTTTCCCTAAGAACCCACCCAGGGTTTCACCCTAGGGCTAGGGGTAAAAAGTGACAGTTACTGACTATCAGTAGTAATTTATACTGCTGCAAGCTAGGACAGGGCTTAGTTAATGCCCTATCCCTGCTTCCAAGTTTTTTATAATTAGGACACTGTGGAAGGGTTTCTTTTGCTGGACTGGGGGTGAGAAGGCAGAATTAAATGGATGTAGTCTACAAATTGCACTTCCTCTTTCCACCCCTGCCAAAGCCAGATTTGGTACAACTTCTTTGTATCAGTAACCAGAGCAGAGCACAGGGCCCTAAGACAGTATCAAGCAAATTTGTAACGTCCCAGTTTACGTTCCCTTCAGCATTTTTAATAAATGAAACATGAAAGCGCTCTTTATTTGACTAATATTCACCAGTAACTGAGAATATTCAGTGTTATTATTTCCTTATAAAATATAACACATAAGGATACATCAAAAGTGCAGTGCGCAAGGCTGACAACACACAATACACAAGGGATATCATCATGTACTTTAAATTGCATCAGATAAAATATGCAATTTATAGTACATATGCTTATACATTATTGACATGTTGTTATTTTAAAATATTTCTGATACCATGTTTTATTTTCAGCATCGAGCCTTTTCTAAAGGCATCTTCTATTTATAGAACATCTTTGTAAGGGCAAAATTCGAACCCCTACAGTCATGCATGGGAATCAGGCATCTCATCCACAAGTAGATTTGGTCCTAATGAAAGTCCTTTTTATACCTGCTGTTTGCCTGGCAAACAGGATGTGTTTCACTGTAAATTAAGAGAACTCAGTTATGTGCTTGTTGCATTTAGAATACAATGCACAGTAAAATTAGTGGGAATTGTATTTCCACATCTGAGGACAGAATCAGTTCCTGGAAGGTGGGGGGTATAATCTCTTAACTGATGTGCAGGAATTTATACATGCACCTGTCATGAATTACAATGGAAAATAGATGGCAAACATACCAAGTGTGAGAATGTTACTGGTTGGATTTGAACTGTAAATTACAAACTCATGTACATAACCTACCCCGAAGCATACAAGAGTCCAAAGTTCAAAACCAGCACAAAAGTCATTTAATTGTAGCAAAATTTAAATGGAGTGGGCTAGATACTGGGCATACCACAAACCCAGCAAGCTGCTTAGAATATCTAACACAAGCTCAGGTATGTTAATAGAATGTATGAAGGCTGAAAGCCTAGTTTAACCAAAAGTTATTGAACTAGTTTTGGGATTCTCTAAGTAAAAGCTATTATCTTTGTTATGTAATAAACAAAGACCAGATTATCATAACCATCCCTAATAACACAAATATGTTCAGCCTTATTGGTAGAACAGCTGAAAATGGACACATACATTTCTCCAGTAGCAAAAGCAGTCCTGTACCCTCATACTGTGCATTATCCAAGAAAAGTACCCAATTTTTTTTGTTTTGTATTAAAACATACTATGGTGATAATGATTCCATTATACGATCAGAAACAACTCCTTTACTGTATCATTTCATCTGAATCAAGTGTCAATCACAGGGTCATCCAAATAAATTGCTCATTAAATTTCAACACTACCACAACCAAATATATTTTCATCTAGTTACAGAATTTAATGAAATCACATAAGACCTGTGAACCCATTCTGCAAAGCTCACCAGTTGAAGTCTGTGTGTAAAGAGCTTGCATGACTGAGTACATGCCTCAAAAATTTTGCTCTCTATCCTATTTGCCACTTTGTTACCCTTTCAATTTGGTGCTTCTTGCAAACAACATTGTAGTGATTTTCAAGTAAAAGCGTTAGAATATTTAAGGAAAAAAAATAAAGTGGTGTATTTTCATATTAATGCCATTTAAGAGCATTAGGCCAGGTTATCAGTAAGAAGATGGCTATTGTGCCACCTGCTAGTTGCCTACCTTGATTTCCGCAGGGCTTCTTCATCTGGGTCTTGCACTGCAGAGGAGAAAATGATTTATTTAACAAAAATCTCCTCTGTGCTACTCAGGGCTACTGTAGAGTCCAATAGCAGGTTAACCAAAAATATCACTGTAAATTTCATTTAAGGAGATGTACATGACAGCCTCGCAGCAATGCATTATGTAATCAGTGGCTTTCAGTATCAGTGTCAGTGGGTAGACATGAGACATTTACCACAGAGCTGCCTAATTAGGTCTGCAGTAAAGTCTCTGTGTCTACATGTGCAGCCCTATTAGGCCACAGGAAACTAATTAACTCTGCTGCAGGTTAGTATTTGTAAATACAAGTAATATCCTGCTGCAGAGTTCTTTACTATGCAGCAATGCATGTGTAAACACTGACAAGGCTGGCTGGGGCACAAGGGTGCTTCAGTGTGGGGGTTGCCTGCTGGCTAGTCCTGCACTGAAGCATGCTCATGCCACAGCCAGCCCCTCTGCAGCACACTGAGCTAGGTCAGAGCAGCTCTGGGCTGGCAGCCTGATCTCACAAGCCCCCTGACAGCTGGGGCTACTCTGACCTGGCTCAATGTGCTGCGGTTCTTGGCACACATGAAGACGCAGTGCCTGGGAGCAATAAACTCTGGCGTGACATGCACCAGAGTTTATTGCTTTGCATTAATAGCATGTGTAGATGCGTTGAGTGAGTCAGGTAGTAGAAGGGAAACTGCAGTTAAACTACTTTTGCAGTCGCATATTAGCAGCCAATCCACAGTCTGTTAGGATCATGGAAGATGAATCACAAGGAAGTAATTGGATGCTCTCTTCTCACGCAGAGAAAATGAAGAGAAAACACTGGGGAAATGGTGCCTGCTTTCCAATTATGGGATAAAAAAGTAATAGACTTCCCCAAACTCTAAGCTATCTAAATCAGGAGTAGGATATGGAATGAGTACCTGACGATCAGATAAAAGAATTCCATGGACAGCAAACATGGAAACTTTTGTGCCAATGATGGGGGCAGAGTCTTATGTAGGATATTATCTAGGTAATAGGGCTGCTTGGAAATCATATGTACATTAAACCTGAAGTTTCAGGCTGTCCTGGTTTCAGCTCATCATGTAGGAGCATATTGTAACTGATGCTAAATTGTTTGTTCCTCTTTAAGTGAATCAGCAGCTCATTAGCTTATTTCCCTGAGAACTGGGCCATTTCACTAATTATGCTGTAGGGTTGTGTTGAATGTATTAGTCCTTATCATAACAGAATCTGGGTGCTCAAAGGATTTGCTTTATACAAAGGAACATGATACATAGCATTTATGTTTCTTAGCATCTCCTTGGGCTAAGATTCAGGCTCCTGTGATATTAGGCCATATTGGAGATGATCACTGTAGGAAGGGGGTCAACTATGGAAGTCAACAGGCATAAATCTGAAATCCAAGTTTGTTTTTTTGCTGCTTGACTTACTGTACTCCGTTCCTGTCATCTGGGCAAGGATGCGGAAAGACTTTGACTGTAGATTGGCAGAACGGCGACTCCAGTCTTCGAGCTCTTCTTCAGGCTTGTTCTGAGTTTTAAGCACAGCCTGATACACTGGAGAAGCACTGTCTACATGAGGATCTTTAACAGGAAGTGTACTGCAATGTAGAGAGACATGCATTATAAAACAGCACTTGCTGGGTTTACCCCACTTCTCCCCACCATCATCTTATGGTTTTTCTTCAAAAACAAGCAGCAGAAAAATCCCATACCTCCATTTTTCTGAATAACAAATAACCTATAGTAGATCAAAAAATATGGGAGTCAAGAATATTCTAGCTTACACTGTCTAAAAAATCATTATTTTTCTTCAAACCAGCATGTGTGCCTTTTGGTCAATGGATATAGTAGTCTGTCCATGATCCCTAAGCCAATGCAACCACAAAGTTATATTGAGCACCCAACTACAAATGCACCCACCAACAAATGTTCATGACACCACATAACAGCAATTGAGCTAAGCTCTTATTTGGTTCATGATGCAAACTGGAAGCAGACACAGTAATTTAATAGCTTTTTTTCCCATAAGAGCTTAGCTTTTGCATAGTGCACAGTTAAAATTAAATATTAATAGAGCAACAGACACATTACACTGATGATGATGTGTGCAGTCATGTAATAACCTGGCTCCATGGCTCCTCTAAATACAAGATCTATTTTTGAAGTGAATGATTTTTGGAACTTTTTTAATGTGCTATGCCACAGAGCCTTGCAAGCACCATGTTCAACTTCATGAAAATTGAGAAATGGCTATTTTAAATATTAAGAGCTATATGGTTCAGTGAGCTCCATGGTGTAAAGTACAGGGAATCAGAAAAGCCACTTGGTATAAAACTTGCCTCTCAAAATAAGGCTCAAAATTCCTATATGGAAAGATACCACCTTGCAGATAAGACCTATAGAAAATAATTAAAAAAACAACAACCCCAAAACCTCATAGTCTTACAGACCAAAAGGAATCAAGAAAAAGCCAAAATAGCATTTATATGTAGGGACCTACCAAATTCATGATTTGCACAAAAACTGTGGATTTGGTCATCCAGGGAAAAGTATGGGGACTGTGAAAAGGCATGAAATTGGCAATAAGTTGCAGGGGGAGGAGCAGGGAAGAGAATGCTGCAAAAATAGAAAAGGGCAGAAAGCCCTGGCATCCTGAAGCATGGGGGGAGGAAGGGAGAGGAGATTTTCATAGGGGTGCGGCGCTCCCTCAGCCCCCCAGACCTCTAACTGATCAAAGGGCCCTGGAAGTTCCAGCCTTCCTGGAGGTTGACAGATGGCCATCTGTGGCCCCTCGGCCAATCAGAGGTGTGTTTGTGAAGGAGGCAGCATGCTTCACTGTGAAAATGGTGGGTACCCAGGCTAGCACTGTGCTCAGCATATGAAATTGGGGGGCAGCCACCCTGAATTCAGCAGGTCCCTATTTATATGATAACTTGTGAAGAATAATGACATTTATCACACTGAAAAACAATGCCAATTCCTAGTGCCCAGGGCAGCAGCTATCTACTATTGACAGGCATCCCTGCTTTAGCCTTGCATAATATGCGCCATGACAATGGATCTGCATCTGCTAATGCAACAGTGAAATATTTTACAAGGGGTCTGGATACACTGCATGTACTAAAGCATTCCATTAATCCCTACTTCAGTTTCTGGTACCTGTGAAACACTTGTATATTACACATTAGGGCTATACGACGTTTCAGTCCCCAATTCAATATGGCAGAGATTTGGCCTGATTTGGTGGCTGAATCTCCAAATCTGAATTGAATCAGACAACCCTTTAATCTCTCCAAATTGAATTGGAACCCTCCAAATTGATTCGGAGAGATTCAGAAAGATTTGGAGATTTGGACATAGACACTGCTTTAAATGTTTTTACTATGTACCTCTAGGTAGCAGGGGCTTGTGAGTGCTGCAATGCTGGAGCTCATGGAATGTCCCACAGAAGCATGGGGGGCTCCTCAGTGTGCTCAGCAACAGACCTGGAAGTGGACCATTTCCGGTCCACTTCTGGGTCCACTGGGGAATATGCCAGGGGCCCCCCTGCACTTCTGTGGGACGCTCCATGTGCCCCAACACTGCAGTGATCACAAGCTGTGCTACCTCAAGGTATGTAGAAAAAACTTTTAAAGCTGTGTCTATGTCCAAATCGCTGATTCTCCGAAGCAGCATCAGATCTTCAGATGTGGATTTGGCTGAATCGAATCAGAAACCGTGATCCAAATCAATGAATTGAATCACTCTCCCTGATTCAGGGCAAATCTAACTCCGAATCGAATAGGGCCTGCTCTGCACACCCCTATTGCACATCATGTCCTTTAGATTGCTTTCCAATGGGGGTATTTGTACTTAAACCACACTTTTTCCTTTCCTCAGAATCTGACAGGATACAACTTAAATTTCTCATTCTCCTGAACATCATAACACAATGGGCAAATAAAGTAGATTAAGTCAATGGAGGGTGTCTTTCTGTGCAAGTCCTGCAAAAAATGACATGGCAAAATCTGTCAGTCAGGAAGATGCAGTGATGCTCTCTCTCCCCTTCCTCTCCTATTCCCACATCCCACTTCTTCCTTTTCTTCTGTCTAGCTTAACAGTTTTTCTACAGCATCATTCTTTATAATCTTGAAAAACTGAGGGTTATGGAAGCACAGAGGAAGACTAAAAAGGGAAATGGTCCTGTTGTAAGCTACATCCCTCCCTCACCCAAGCTCTGAAGGGAATCCTGACAGAGGACAGGGACATCATGGCACAATGGAACCCAGCCTTACATCTCCTTAAAATAGAAACAGCTTTAGTATAAGGGCTAATAAAGACATTTTGTAATGTTAATAGAAATTAGAGTGTTATTGGGATCATTCAGTTGTCGCAGCTCCCCAGTCAAACTATTATTTATAATGAGACTTGGTTAATTCACTAGTCCAAGGTATTTACAAATTATCCAGTGCTGACCAATTATCAGGAAATATTAATTGGGGGAGGGAAGAAAGGTAAGAGTTTGTATCTAGGAATTCAAAGCCGTGACAAATTGAACCAAAAAGGCAAACTAACTCACAGGTGAATTACCTAGAGTTTACTATATTTCTAGCATGAAATCCAAAACAATAAACAAACTTGAGTCTTTGAAAAGGATTTTGTGAAGGCTTCTCAACAGGTTTCACAATTTTCATGTTTTCAACTGTATTTTGTGTTCATTTCTTTATTGACTTCACAAGCAACGTCTTTTGCCTTTTTTTAACGTACTGGATGACTGACTACCTATTGCTGGCTAACAGTTCATTAACTTCCTATCCCCAGCCTTTTAGTTTAATCCCATTGGAGCTTAAAATACTGCTCTGTCTCATGGTAAATTTCACAGCTGTCAAATGATGGATAGTGGGTAGTACATCTAGTAGGTAGATGGTACATCAGCTATCAGAAATGTACTATTGTGGCAACATTGGCATTTGGGTCATGGACAGACAGCCCGGTTCATTAGGCTGAATACTCAAGCTAAGCGGCTTTGTTCTTATAACTGATTTACAAAAAACTTGATTGAACTGTAAATACAGAAACTCCCATTAGCTCAGATGTGGTTGTCCAGCTGTAGAGACTGGGTCAGGGATTCCAGATTGGCAACATGTATCATGGCATATTAATATTATTACAGTAGACAATCAAAACAGGAAATGGTGTCTGGTATTAACCTCTCCTTGCGGAGAGAAGTACTTCACTACATCAAACTATGTTATATAGCTGAGTATAATGTATTAGAATAGTTCCAACTCTGTCTTTTATGTAACATGCCATTATCTGGGATATATGAGCCAGTCATTTAGAATGGCAGTGTAAAATATAAAGCACCACTGGTGATGTCATTCCATAAACTTAGATGGGAATCTTGACTCTTCCAGAAAACCTGATAATGGAGATAATGAAAGCTCAGCAATCTACTACACCTTTCCCTTATTTTCAAGTTCTTTTCTATGCATGGGCATGTGTGTGTATGTGCATACTACTGAAAAAGGCACACTACTGAAAAACAATTCTACCCAAGTGGTTAAATGATCTTCAGGGTTTGCACATTGCATCTTTGTGTATTTTATTAGACTTTAAAAGAAAGTAATATTTTTGTGCATATTATATTCAGATCACATTTGATTTGTATCAAAATAGAAACAGTTTAAACCTATTTAAATAAAGAATGAGATGATTATTACTTCCACTTCATTATCAGCTATAGTAAACATATAGACTACCTACTAAAGTCTTTACTCGAGTTTAATTTAATCTTTACTTGGGTAACTAATGCCTGAATAATAACTTAGTAAGAGGCTCCCAGTTTGATTCCTGATTTAAAAAAAAATCCGGCTGAATAACTATGAAGTAGGATAGTGCATCTTTATGACTATTGAATAGATGGCACCTGAATTTCAATTATTAACAAAAAAACAGTTATTGAAATGAACAATATTTTGTGAGCGATTGTAAAGTATCAACCATTTTCATTTGCTGTAAAAAGCTAGGGTTTCATTAGGTTGATTAATTTATTTTTTCACTTAACGAAGCAGATTAAGTCCCTTCATAGTGTTAGGTGTTGCACTATGAGTGACCAGATGTCACTGGATTTATGTGTAATTATATGAGAAGTAAAGTTGGCCAATATTCCTTTAATGACTTTTGAAAGAGGTTCTGCTGAAATGAACATGAAACACAAATATGTGTTCTTATAAAGATCAACTCTTGGTTCTTAGTATATAATGAGTTAAAAAACAGCAACATGAGTGTAAAGAACAAGAGCAGTGTAAAGATGGGACATTACAACTTTGCTACTTTTTTAAGTTCTGGCATGAAGTTTTAATAATTCCAGTGTAAATAACTGCCGGAATGCTTTCCTTGACAATATAATATGCTTACATTGAACAACATGACCCTTTTTATATAATCTTTGATGCCAGTGATTTCAAATAATAAGACTAGAAACTGTCCTGATGAAAAAATATATGGTAATACTTTTCCTTCATTGCTATAGAAGCCTAACCAGTGTTCCAGGGCCGTAACATCATTAGAATTATCTCTCAAATGGAAACCATACCCTTCATATTTGGAATTTGAACCCACCAACAATATATCTTACCATTCCTCATCCTCTCATTTAATCTTATGCCAAAGAGGAGTTTAAAAGTGTGGAGTGGAATTCTTTGTGGAGAATTAAGACTAAAGGAGTTGGGCTCATTCAGAATTTGTTTCATTATTTACTATTACTGTTTCTATAGTTATTTTCACATTTTAGCAGAAAATAACTTGGCTTTAGCAGGAATAAATAGCTTATTTCAGACCTGAATCAGCAAACTAATATCTTCAGCTTTCACTGTAAACTGGTGTTCAAAATAGTCAGCATATTACAGGAAGCAAAAGCAATGCCTTAAAGACTAAAACCAATAGCATTAGCAAACAAATGTAGTCCAATCGATCGCCAAGACTTTACAATTCTCTCTGATCAGACTGTCTTAAAAGTATGAAGTTTGCTTTCGTGTCTAAACATAAAAGAACTATTAAAAGCACATACTTAATCTACTAGGGGAAGTGGACCATCACTAAGTAAAAAAACCTATGAAACTCAAAAAAGAATGGTGTGCAAGCAGGCTGGAGTTCTGAGCATTGCTTATTTAGAGAGCTATCTAGATCTGACAACTCATCACAATAAAAGCACTACTCTGCTGGATGAAGCCCAGCTCTCACTCAGTTGTTGGGCTTATAAGTCACTCTTCAAAAAGCAAGCTAATGGCTGTACATTAGTTCATGTAGCAAAGCTTCCACAGCAGCTTGTTATTTAAGGTCAAAGGGAGACTGTAGTCTTGGACATATCTTGCAAGGAATAATGGCTCACTAGAGATGCATCTCTAATCCACAAAGATAAATATAAATTATTATTTCACTTCTAAACACCCTTTGAAGTATAAGATGCAAAATGGAAGAAACCTTATTTAAGAAAAGAACTGTGGCTGGTAGCACCAAAGAAATCAGTGGAGTGAGGCCATGTATTTTATACAACACAGCAAGAGCTGATTCTCAGCTCTCGTTTAATTGCATTTATGTCATTTATACAGTTAAAGGCACATACTTGTGTGTGTGAGATGTAGGCCTTTACTACTAATCAATTTTTCCATCCTCTAAGAAAAATATGTCAATAGTACAGATTTTCCCCTATTACAACATTCATAACATTCTTATCTCCATCTTTTACTTAATGGACGTTCTCTCATCTTATCTGGGATTTCTGGAAGGGGCAATTTTTCCTCAAGCATCAAGTACTGGGCTCCTCAGCAGGAAGAACAAAATGGACTGGTGCTCTGATACGTTACAGTAGATGTTTGCTTTGAACTGCACCAGATAGATCCTATTTGTGTGCCATCTATTAAATAAGAGATTCCACATGCTCAACAGTTGAATGGTACAATCCTGGGCATGTGTTACAATTTGTATTGTATGACTTTACACCAGTTTGTTAAAAGGGCTAATATATAATAAAATGCCTCCATATCACTATGAAAAAAGTGAACCCCTTTACAGTACACACATGCACTGCCTTTCTGTACTCTGCTAGTTAGAAATATGGATCTACTTACGCCAATGGAGATTCACTGAGAGTCATATGGTCAAAATGCAACAAAAGGTATTGTGTAGGGCCCATCATTAGCGAGAGTTGTGATGCACGCAAAAGAGTAATGTTAGTATCAGAAATTAGTGAAAAGGGAATGAATAAAAGAAAAAAAGAAGAGAAAAGAAATGATCAATAAAAGGTAGCATAAGTAAATACATACAACATTAGCATTTAGAATAAGCCTTCTGTTTGTTGAAAGTATAGCATGTTTGCTCCAATAATTTCAAGACAAGATTAAAGTTTCCTATTCTACAGAGAAAAATGTATTCTAAGAAAGGCATAGGGCTGCACATAGCTCTTATAAAACCAGAGGAGTTATTTCATAGTTCTGATTATACTCAGGGAAGCTTGAAAGAAAATCAAACAGTTTGTCAAGAGCAAATCCCTGATCCTGCAATCAAGGCATACAGACTTGCGACCCTGCAAAAGTCCATTTACTTCAATGGGAGAAATAAACCTAAAGATTACAGACTTAATTTGTTTGGTCCATATCATTCATCCACAAGTTCTGCTGTATAGGAAAAAGTCATGCTCCAATTCATCTGCCACTTAACACTGGTTCACACTGGTATGATCTACTGATTCAGTGGGGATCAAGGGGGTTAATCCTTCATTTATTTCAGTGTGAGAGAAGTATCAGGTTTCAGAAGAAAAGTGTGTTATTCAATAACTTATAGCATACCATTTTAAAGGCAATTTTTATCCATTAAATCCATGTGATGCTTCTTAGACTTAGGCTGCTATTGTAAAAATATTTGCTTAAATAATTCTGAAGATACATACTGACAGGTACAATACATGCTATTAAGGAAAGTAGTTCTTGAACATCGGATCAAGATCTCATGAGTCCTCCTTAGGCGAGACCTGAAATTGCCCAGAGCACAAACAGTGCCTGACTGAGGACTGCAGACTCTGGCCCAGGAAGAATAAGCTTTTGAAGTTTCTTTTAGAAGACCATGTCCCTTATATTAAAGAGCAAAGCCCTGACTCCAGTGGGAGTTCTGCATCTATATGCCTTTGAGGGTAATGACTCAAAAGATAGTTGAATGGATACTGGCAATTTCCAGCTAGTTTTGAGTCTTATCTACAGACAACATTTCTTAAACCAGTAAACACCATGCAATTATACTTGTATGCCCTAAAAGCAGCAAAAAAGTCTATGTAAAGAAAGGAAAATAGCACACATCCTGAACTGTGACCCAGAATGCATAATTTCTATCTGCGACAAAAGGCTTTGATGTAGAAGTCCCTGAAAAGACATGTACACACCAACCCACTGTTCATCTATGCTTCTTACAAGAGCAGGTCTATGAAATTGGGTCATTCTCTAGGGCAGTTTCAGAATCCCAGCTGTCAGCTGACCCTCAGTTTCAGGTAGCTGAAGCTGGAATTCCAAATGATTAAAGGACAAAAATAAGTTGTTATTTTCTTGTTACCTATTTTTATTTCAAGCTGGAATAAGAATAATTTTAAGGGAAGAAAGGTTTTCTGTCTCCTGGAATATTTTAGATTTGAGACTAAGAGAAATACAAACTGGAAGAAAACATAATTATGAAGTACTGTAGGTAAAGCTGAGGATACTGAAATAGCCTAAAGGATCCTAGATGATACCACATTTCAATCCAGTTGTATAACATGTTTCCATAAAACATATGCCTTTGGTCCCTTTATGCTGGATTTGTTCAAGATAGGCTGTTTACATATTCCTTTTGCACACCACCATTAAACTTCTCAGGGCTGAAAAAGCCATAGAACCATTAAGAAAAGCAATGATAATGTACAGTGCTGCAAAAATTGAAAGTGCCTATTAAGAACAATAGAGGATCCTGCTTTCCATATACAGAAACATCCATCTGATTGCCAAAGACAATAGAGACGGGTAAGACACCCATATATAACTTAAACCAGGGTGACAAAAGTTATTACTTCTTATTGGTATACATATTCCTACAAAAAGATCATTTTTAACTGAAATGTCTTCTCATCTGTGAAATATCCAGGCTCCTAATAATCCTAAACAAGAGGTTTCTAGAAAATAACATTAGTGTTACTTAAAATTAAATGATGATAACATAACAGAGGGCTCCATTCTAAAAGAATGGAACAGTAACTAAAAAAAATGCATATATTGCACTTTTATATGCTCATAACATCTGTCTTCCCATGAATGTTGTGCTATGTAAACAATGCAAAATTTACACTTAAAAGATTATAAGAGACATCATAAAAAATAATAACTATCCATATATAGTTATCCTCCTCCCCATTTATATTTTTACTATAGGTGAAGCATACAAAGTAGATATTCATTTGCATTGTGATAGAAAAATATATATTATAATTGAATAACTTCAACTTTTATGCTTAAGTCATCTCGTTTTTCTGAGGTCAAAAGTGAATATCATTAAAACCTAAACCCAGAATCTGCTCTCAGTTATACCAGTATGAAAACCAGAAGACCTCATTCAAGTCCATGGAAATACTCTGGCTATATACCCTTGTAACTGAGAACAGAACCCAAATTACAGAGGTTGCCTAAAGATAGCATATCTACTTAAAAACAAAACAAAACACCAAAGTGATAAAGCAATTAATTCCTTAGAACAATAATTTGATGGCTCACTTTTGTAACCCCACCCCAGAAACATCTCCCCCTCTCAGGTTTGCATGCTTCCTGGTTCTCAGGTGAGTGTGTGTTTCTCATTCCACATGTTTAACCTGCATCCATATCAGTTGGAGGAGACAGACAGTCCATTGGTAATAAATGGCTCTAAGCAGTTTCTAACAGTTTTTCAGTAAATCAAATCTGGTGCTTATGCTACTGAACAAGGCAGCTCTAAGGATAACTACACTTAAGTGAGACAGGATGGGAATGACAATGTTTTTTGCTTCAGGCAACATATACAGGTGGCCAAATTGTGCCACACATTATAACACTGAACTCTCTGATTAGCCCCATATATTTCAGCAGACTTGTGCAGTAAAGTTATTACCTAGTATGAATGGTGGCAAAATGTGACATTAAATAAGGAAATGACCCAAATAATAGGGTATTTTGAAACATGTTTCTGACAGATTTTGTTTAATGATGGCAATTCATCTCACTCCTTAAAACATCCATTGCCATCATGGAAGAACCATATGCAGGTTTCCCTCGATTTATGCTGTACATGCATTCCCAGAGAATGGCGCATAAATTTAATTCACGTAAAGTGAACCCACTTTACAATGCAACAAATAGGGATAGGCTCCCATGGTGGGGAGGGAGGGAGGGAGTGAGTGAGGCTGGGACTAAGGATGGGGCAGGGGAGGGGTTCTGCTGCCAGGGCTGTACAAGGCAGCAAAGCAGAGGGAACAGAGTGGCACTTACCCCAGCCCCAGCTGCAGCAGCCCTGGGAGTGGCCAGCGCCCGCTGCCTGCAGTTGCTGAGCTGCACTGTGCTCTGCCTGTCCCCACTCGCCTCTGATCCTGGGCTGTGCCATGCACTAGTGCAGGCAGTTGGTGCCAGCTGCTCCCGGGGCTGCTGCAGCTGGGGCTGGGGTGAGTGCTGCACCCGGTGCCACTCAGGGCTCCACTTGTCCTCACTCACCCCATCCTGTGCTGGAGCAGCCCTAGGAGTAGCCAACACCAGCTGCCTGCACCATGGCACAGTGCAGCCCAGGAGCTGGGGTGAGCCCAGGCACGGGTGGACCTGTGGAGCACAGTGCAGCCCAGCGGCCACAGGCACCTGGCACTGGCTGCTCCTGGGCCACTGCAGCTGGGGCTGGGGTGAGTGGGGCCATGGCCCTTTCCCCTCCACCCACAGACTTACCTGCTTGGGCGGGGGGCATCTATTCTGATCACATAAGAGTAAATTTACTTCGCGTATAATGAATTATGGGTCTAAATATGCTCATTACATAAGAGTTAATTCACATATAAAGAACTTGCAAAAACCGAGGGAAACCTGTAGATTTATGTACACAAGTCACAATACATATACACATAAATACAACCACACACGTATGTGTGTATGACCCTATGGGATTTATGGCATTTCTGTTAGGCATTATGGCTCCCAACTCTAGAAAAAATATTGAAACGGGAATTACAAACTTTCAATTCTATACTGCCTGCCTTCTTTTAGTTTTAAAGGCATTAATTGCATTGCACAAACTTTGAAAGAAATACTAAACTCTATTCTTCTGCATACATACAATGCTTCAGAGAAAAGGATCAGGGGAAGGGAATGGTGTACATGCACAGGAGGACTATTTGATGTCATGCATACAAGGAAATAACCTTACCCAGCAAATTCACCACCTTGGGCCTGTGCCTGGCCTGCAATGGCATCCATGATGGCATCCTGGGAATACATGCTGATTGGGGTATTATACTGGGCATGAATTATAGTAGCTTTGCCACCTGGGCCTTTCACCTCAATAGGTTTGTGTGTAGACAGGGCAGAGTCCTTCAAGACATTGGGGTTGAAGCGTTCCACATACTCCGTGCTAGGGTTATATGAGAGTAAATTTTGCAAAGGGAAGAGAGAGAAGGGGAAGAAAAGACAAAGGGGTGAAAATAGGTGAAAGATATAACAACAGCAGAGGAATGTGCATGTGCTCATGACATCTCATCCCAAAAGCTTGAATACAGACCAGAAGAGAGACAGAACACGTATTTTGTAATGTAATTAAAAGGGGCCTTTTAAACTTCTAGAAAGTTTTAATGCATTGATGTAGATGCCTATTTCTCCTATTTAGAGGGTTATAATATTTTTACATGGTTAATTAATCATGGTGATATTTACTAATAAACATTTTTAATCTTCCAACACTTCACAAATAATATATAATTAATCCTTACAAAACTTTTGTTCAGGAACTGTGAAGGTTACCAAAAAATGTCACCACATCTTGAAGCTAGATTCTGTATTTCCTAAATAATAGTTAAGGTGGCAATTAAAGGCCATGTATCATGGGGTAGTTGCACTTTATAATG